GTCATCGACTGAGTTTTAATTTGAATAAACATGATTACATCGTAACACATGAAAAAAATAACAAGACAGATGGCAATACATGATCATAAGAGTTTGCCGGATAAAGTTATTTAAATTTTATACTGTATTATACTAAGATTAAATACTAGTAATATAATTTATATAATTTTAAATAAAAATATTAATCTTTTTTAAATAATTATATTTTAATTATAAATTTTTATTTTTAATTAAAATATTAATAATTATATAATTATATAAAATAAATATAAAAAATATTTTTATAAAAAAACCGTTCTTTTATATAATCACCTATATAATCACATTATAGCAAAGCCTGCAACCCTTTACTAATAAGCTCATAAAATAAAATATATCTTTATAAATACATTACTATATACTAATTACACAATTGAATAATACGTACAAACGCGTGATTATAGAATAACACTAGAATCTAATATAAAGCCAGTATAAATCGTTAATTATAAAATCATTTGTCTCTTGTTACTATTATATTCATACCAAATTTTTTATAATTACCTAATTTACAATTTCATTAAAGGCACAAACTCATATTGTTCCGCTAAAAGTTCTCTAACCCATTTATAATCTCCTACCACCATATCATTATTATCGATTTTCTCCACACTTTTCTTTCTTATAGATGCAAATTGGTCAATCAAATATAACCAATTCAATGTTTGAGAAACTGTAAAATATTGTTCATTTACTGTTGATTTTGCTAAAGAAGACATCTTCTGATATAATTTATCATTTGTAAATAGTGTAACTAAATAATCAGCAACTTGAGCTGTATCGCCAATGTTAACAAGAAATCCGGTTTCTTCATGCTTGATTTGAAGCGGAATACCGCCTTAACATATGATACAAAATGTAAATATGATACAAAATATAAATATTAAAAACATAAACCAAAAACTAACCAAAACTACAATGCGATTTCGTACCAGCTCTAAATGCCACTACCGGAGTGCCTACAAATTATTTATTATATATTTAACTATATAAATATAAATATATATATATAAGGCCCCCGAATAATTATAACAGAGGTTATATTTGAGCCATTAGCAGTTTTCTGCAATTTGATTGGATAAAAAAATTTTTAGCCAATCAAATTGCTTAATTTTGCAAAATTAAAACCTCTGTTAGCTATTTTTCAAATATGACCTCCATTAGTATTGTTTGGGTCCTTATATATATATATATATACACTGTAAATAAAATGCCAAATAAAAACTACTGTAAAATATCATAAATACCTTTAGCCAAGGCTTCCGTAATTTTAATTTCAAATCCTTCCCTCGTACTAAGCTGCAACGCGACATGAGCACACCTTAACATGGTATTAAATATTTGATCACACGCCGGAAGACGAACAACAGAAACGTCATCCGCAATATCAGCATATTCTGATCGCTGTAATGTCAAGCAAGTTTGATCATAAATTGGGCTACCATCCGGATCATCAATGCTACTAGCTCCACAAATTATTAGTGATGGCATTTTTTCAGGAGACCAGCCCTCTCTTCTAAGTTTGTCACGGAAAATCTTGAATGATTCAATTACAAGTGGAATGCCTATAATGAAATTATTCCTTATTTAGTTGCTAAAATATATTAAATTACTAATTATAGTCAACCTGGCTACAATTACACCACTAGCCTAAAAAACATGACAATAATAAGATGTTTATAGGCAAGTTAAATTTTATAACTTTAGACGCGTTGAATCGTAGCTAATGCAATATCCAGGATTGACTGTATATGTAATTAGATATACCTTTACTAGGATCAAATCTTGCAATTTGAACAACATAAGGCCTATTGAAATCAATTTCAATACCACATTGGTCGATAGATAATCTATTATAAACCGATTTATAATAATTCAGATCCGATTGACTCAAATCTTTGTTCAACCCATCTAATGGATCTGTAGATGCTGGAAGGAGGACAACCTAGCATTAAAGAACAAACTATTATTTTGGCGACCCACTAATTAATAATAATAATAATTGAAAAACAGCGCACTTTTTTACAGGGAACATTGTCTGGCACAAAATTTTCTATAGGATGGGATACAAAAAGATCGGCTTGCGAGATAAACCCCCAGAGAAAATCCCAAACTTCCGCTTGGGGACCAGTTGGGTTGTCTCTAATAAGGTCAGCACAAACTATTTTCGTGAATCATGTAAATATATTAGGAAAACTGCTTGAAAGCAATCACATTAACATTCCGATTGCGAAGTATATAATTCGCGAATTATTATGCACTTACTTTCTATATGACTACGATAAATGATTTTGCAAGTTGGGTTTAATTTCTTAATATGTGGAATAATACCACACACTAAAACATAAAAAAAAAAAGTTATATTTAAGACTTAAATAGTTGTGAATTTTAAACTTTACCTTGCGGATCGTCAATAATAATAACGTCACTTGTTTTAATTGGCCCATTTTCATCGCACCAGAAACGTTCAACGTTGTTATCTGACCAACTTATAAATGCATCTTTATCATCCTGTGTCAAACGCGCGTCAGAAGGTCCTACGCCCTGTATCACGTGTAAAAACAACACATTTATATGTTATACTAAAAAATATTTGTCCAATTATTATTAAATGTACCTGCAAAATGTTGTGAAATTTCCTCTTCGTAATGTCGAAAATTTCCGGCCTTGGCTTGGCCACGAACCAATGAAAATCCAGTTTTAAGAGACGACAAAAACGAATAAGCGCATGACGCATAAGAGCAACTAAATCAAAAAAAAATCTCTTATCCAACCTTAAATATTAAACGCGCAAACCATCCTTTTTGATTCACAGGGTCCATTTTTTTGATTCAAAAAAAGGCCCATTGTTTGATACTACCCCGTATTATTTAACCCCTCTAACCCTGATAAAAAGTGGGCCTTTTTTATGAATCAAAAAAAAGGACCCTGTAAATCAAAAACCATTTAAAAAAAATATATATATATTACCCCCACCACCCTGAGGTGTCGCATTAAAAAATGAGGCTTTGACTTTTTTTTGGTTTTTAATTGACCAACAATTTTTAATAAAATTTTCCAAGTTTCTGGGCACACGGTATTTTCATAATGTACTAGATCCACTAGTTTCACAATTCCGTTTAAGTCGACTTCAACTTCATGTCTGTATCCAACGGAAATTCTTGGAATTGAACCTGGCATTTGCGGACTCATCCTACAATAATGGCGGTTGATTTAGTGAAATTTATTTGCATAAAATGAAGGTTGACCCAAGTGCATTTATTTAATTACCAAATAACAGCTTTTCTAATTGCTGAACTGGCTCGTTCATCAACGCTTCTTCCTCTTGTACCAAAAACAAATGGCAAAATATCAAGTTCCAGCCACAACTTAGATGCTAGGCTTGGTGCTTCAAACAACAATGCATTAATATTCTTTCCATTTATATTGCCTCTCGGTTCTCGCGTTTTTATGTGAGCACCAAGTCCAATAGCTTGAATTTTATAGTTCTGAGATTTCGCATAAGCGCGAATTTTCTCAAGAATTACTCTAGAAATTTTTTCAATATATTCCACATTTTTGTGACTTTCTTTTCTCGAGATATCCGAAACATCAATTGACGAAACTTCAAAATCGATAGAATAACTGCCATCGTGTGTGCAAATTGCGTACTCAACTTCGTCAATTTCTGTGTTATAATCCAGTTCTAAGCCCAAATAAATGCTTTGCAGAATGGAGGTTTCGACAATTCTTCTATGAGTTGTATAAATTAGTGGCATTTTTATGAATTTTTTCAAGTTTTTAAAAAATAAACAACTTACTCTATTTATAAAAAAAATCATAATAGTAATTACGGTCTTAGCTCATTACTATTACGTAAATTCTACGTACGTATGTACGATTAAATGGCGCCCTTGTCATGTAAATCATACGACTAAGTGACGCCATTTTCATGTAAATCATACGATTAAGTGACGCCACCATTTCATCTTATAAATAGCGAGTGTTCTTGACCGACATACTAAATTAACTAATCCGCGTACCTAATTCATGTTTTTTTTAAAAAACAATCGCAAAGATTTAAATGCACGTATCTCATGAAATGCCGACAATTTAGGCACTATTAGCATCGTAATTACACCCTCTACGTTATAGAAAGACTTTTATATGATTGGCTGTTTAAATCAACTTTATCTTATTTATACAGTTTAAAGTACTGTACTGCACTTTTAAAAAAAAGATAAAAACTACAAAGAATCAATAAATAAATAAGATTTTACTACGTATAAATATATTAAATCTAGGTGCCACACAAAAAATGCGCGGAAATTCACGATTATGAGACCAAAATTATTTAAATTTTACTATTGGACAGAACAGGTGGAACCGTCGATGTTATTGGCATCATTGAAAAAAATTTTTTTATATTGTTTTACAATACTTTTTAAAAAGCCGGCATAACTATCTATTTTATAAAATGTGATTAATTTACTAACGCTAAGCAAACTTGAAGTATTCGTGCTGTTTTATATCTTTTTAATTCCTCTTGATTCTCCAACTTTCATAATACATTTTACTAGCGAAAATATGTTTAATACTAAGCAATGCGAAGAATACAGATCAACTAAGTTATTTAGAAATAGAAAGAGATTGAGTGTATAGAAAATTTATTATAAATATTAAAAATAATACTCTTAGGGAATGGGCCGGGTTGGGCTAAATCCGAGCCCGGCCCAGGTCTAGCCCAATAAAATTTTAGAGTATGGACCGGGCCAGTCTTAACTCTAAAACCCGGCCCGATCTAACCCAATAAAAAAAAGACCTGTGCAGACTAGGGTTGTGTTACGAAAATTACAATCTTACATTTTACGTAAGTTTCAGTAAATCGAATTTCACGTAAGTTTGGTCACATGATATAAAGTACCGGGATTACATAAATATGGCCTAGTTTTATTTATTAGATTTATTTGAATATCTAAGACATCTGTTACAATATCGTTATATTTAAATATTAAGCAGGTAACGAATTGCTGTACTGTACGTTTATTTAAATCATTTTAGTCACATGAAATAAAGATTTTGCAAACATATTAATTTTGTTTTGTGATTATTTTATTTCGTGAAAAATTAGACAGCAAAGTAAGCAAAGAGAATAATAAAATCTTTTTGAATTCTGGATAATAAACAAAATAAAGAACAAAAAAGGTTGGATAATACAGTAGCAATAAAAGAGCAAGAAAACAATGATTTTGGGAAATATAAAAAAATTTTTTTAAGTAGCAATTGAGTAATCAATTTTTTTTTCTTTTATTGGCAATCTCATTAGTATCTTTTATTAAATCAAAGCATATGTTTAAGTATATTTTAAACTATTTAAACTGTGGATCTGATATCACTCGACTTCTTTTATAGACATTTAAGTGCAGTTTGCTTTACTGTTTAAGGCTATTGCCTATACTGGAGGGTTATACCAAGCTAGCCAGTGAAATCATAACAATATATAGTTTCAAGTTGAAAAAATTTTTAACTATATTGGAGTGTGATGACATTTTGAAGTGGTCAAGTTGTCACCTTCCAAGTGGCTGGTCAAGAGTTTGAATCTTACTGGTGATAAAAATTTGAAAATTCTGTTTGTGTTATAGCTAACTGTATTTGATCGATCAGTTAGGATAGAATACCTGTAACTATGGTCGCACCAGCAAGACTAGGAGGTCTGAGGTATTTGTGTGATATAATAGTACACAAAAGGATACAAACTGATAATAGATAGTGCAAACACAAGAGAAGTTTCTGAGTTATGTAAATCTGGAGAACTGCAAATATAGAAGCCTGTTTGGCAAGTCCCAAGTAAAAAGATAGCATAGATCTTTGACAGAGCTATTGTAAAGATTAGACCTAGGAAATAGAACCCATGTAAACTGAACTGGATAAAATATGAGGTGTTAGGGTTGTACTTATACCAATCAGGTTGCTGCAATAAAAAAAAAAACCTAGAAACTGAGATAAAAGAGTTGCAATACATGTGGCAGAGCAGTAAGGTAAAAGGTTCACCAAGATTCAGGGTACCTGTATAAGGCAAAGAAAAAGTGCCCAGTTATTGGGCCATCTAGATTGGAAGTCTGAAAACTAGAATTGGGATCTCTGCTATTAGATGAATTGAAATTGCCAACATCAATTAGATCACTATTGAATTGGAGAAAAATAAGTGACACATATAGGCTATTTGAATTAGAAGTTTGGGTAAAGGGAACTGGGTTACTAAAGTACTGAGGATATACTGTGAAATAAGTTCTAGAGTTTGAGTGAACTTTATAAAGGTAAAAGTAGATTTGAATAGCAAAGTTTAGCTGAAAACTAAGATTAAATCGTAAAAAAGAAACAGAAGAAAGTTTAAGCTAGAAAAAAAAACTATAGGCAATAACCTTGATCTAGCATTACATACATTCTCAGAATAGGAAAAACTAAGTTACAAGTGGTGGGCCACAGTTCATACATATCAAACTGAAGCACAGGCTAAGTGTGGTATAAAATAGGAATATTGCAAGCTCTGCTAGGTTTATTTCGAGGATAAAGTAGTTCTAAGTTGGTATGTGAAACAATGTATCTGTAAAACTGGTTCCTAGAACTGGAGAAAGGATGCTAGTTATCATAGGTCTTGAAGTATATAAGTGCAAAGAGTTTAAATAGATAACCTCTAGTTGGGTTGTAAGTATAGCAAATAATATAGAATCTAGTAATAGACAAACTATTTAAATAGGTACTCAAAAGGTGCAGGTATGACTAAATTACTCTTCAAATATGTATAATGATGTCTAAAAACAATAAAAGCATAGCACAACCAAGAGATCACCTTAAAACCAAAAAAAAATAATAATTTTTAACTATATTTGATTGACAAAGTTCTCTTTCTAAACTATCTTTTTTTTTAAAACTATATTTTAAATCTAATTTTCTAATAATAAACAATTCTACTTTTTCTTTCAACAAAAGATTATTGCCAAAATTCTTTTATTTGAATTTACATTTCTTTTTCCTCTTTTTCTAGTTTAACACGTCTTTTCTAATTAGAGATTCAGCTCTTGAAAATTTTTCTATAACCTTTTTTACAATCTTGTTTTTCTGTTTCGTAGCTTTATATTTTCTTTCTTCTTCTCAGAAGCTTGTTTTAAAAGCCTTTTCCAAGAGTATTCTTTTGTAAATTTTATTTTCTCTAAGTACTTTGGGTCTTTTTTTGATCCACTCATTTTTGGATCTTGATCTGTTTGTTTGAATTTTCTTTCTTTCATGAGCTAAGTATAGTAATCTTTTTCTTTCTTTTTCTTTATCTTCTTTCTTTTTTTTTCTTTCTAGAAATTGGTTTTCTTCTTAGGTTTTTTTTGTATTTTTTTAAAAATTTTTTAATTTTTACAATATTCTACAATGATCTTTTTTACTATTGTTAATATAATTTTTTTTTTTTTTTTTTTCAATTCTTGGCTTCTTTTGATCTGGATATTGGTATATTTTAAAACAAGCTCTTAACCAAATTCTATTTGGATTTTACCTTGTGTATCTATTCTGTAAACAAACTTTTTTTTTTCTTCTATATTTTACTATTAAACTGTAAATTTTTGATATTTGCTAAATATATTACTTCTATTAACTATTCTACTGGGGTTGTTAATACAATCTTAGGTTTTGTTTCTTCTTGGAGTCTTTTTAGCACTTTTTTTTTCATAAGACTTGTGATATTTCATCTACTGCTTCTTTTTTTCTTTTCTTTTCTGATTTTTTTTTTTTGGCTTAGTTTGTTGTAGTGAAATCGATAGTTACCTTAAATTATATTATTAGAGACCTTAGTTTTGTTTCATTATATTGTCATTGTCAAATTTTTTTTGTTTTCGAAATCTTTTGTTCCAGTTTTGATCTAACTTGGTTTTAATTTTGGCAGCTTGTTTTTTTTTTAGCTGGGCTTTTAACTCTAGTTTTAATTTTATTTTTGCAGTTTGTTTTTTTTTTGAAAAATTTGCAACTTTTTTTTTTTTTTTTTTTTACTTCAGTGATCCTATCTTTATTTTATTTATCAAAAGTAGATTACAAAAATGGTCTTAGCTAGCTAAACTTATATACAAATTGCTAAACTATTATATTTCTGTACAAATAAAGATTCTCTCAATCTGTCTTATTATCACAGTAAAACCACAGCCAAAGCCAAGAATTTTACGCTAGAGTATGAACCAGAAGAAACCCACCTAAACAACAATTTTTCTCCTTCCAGGATCCTCAATTTATTGAAGATATAAGCCCCAGATATCAACAGATAGAAGCACTGACTTTGTCAGAATCACCATTCTACAATAGAGTGTCATCAATCTAATGACACTTTCTTGTAGAGAAGTAAAAAAAAAAAAAAAGGATAAGGGCAAAACAAAAATAGGAAAGTAAAAAAAGAAAACAAATAAAAAACAACCAAAATATAAAGAAATCTAAAAACTATTCTAAAATCTAAAAGAACTTGTTTGCAGATATAAAAACTTGCTAACCAGGTAAAAAACTATCTATATAGTTATAGAAATCTATATATAGAGCTATCTAACAAAAAAAAAACTATAAACTAAAATGCACTTTAATCTGTATTAAGGGCTAAAAATTATATACATATGATTTCAGAATATTGTATATCTCTATTATATCGCTCCAGTTTACAATTCTCATAAAATTTACCTCAAATTCTAGAACACTGATTTTAAAGCCTTAATATATAATCATCAGTTCCATTTATATCAAGCTGTTCTTTCCA